GGTAAATCTTTTCCAGCACATTTATTTACCAAATATGAAGTTTATCAACCATCAGCATTCCCTCCTTGCCCTCGTGCAGCAGTAGGAATTAGGGCTGCAGCCTCATGGGTGCTCAGCGTTATGGAGTTTGGTGTTCCTGCTGCTCACCCAACACGCCATGGTGGGAAGCCTGGCTGGCAGCTCCCTCCCCACTCGTGTTCCCTTCTTCTTCTAGAGCTGCATTTCTGTGAGCCACTGCACTTACGGAGTGTTTCTGTGCAGCCCAGCGTTCCCACAAAGGCCCCATGTTTGTGCTGTGAAAGCTTTGCCTGGAAGGCCTCTGTGTGGGCAAAGCGGCCGTGTCAGGCAGAGGGAAACTGTGCAGCCTTTTTTCTCCCCTTAACTGAGTTAGTTTTTTGGGTCTTGAGCAAACGTTGCTTGAATGCAGATCACAATATTTGCTTAGTGACCCAGTGGAATGTCTGGGATATTTTTATTTTTTCTCCAGAGCCAAAAAGTGCTCTTTGGCTCTACATCCCTGCACTGCTGGCCTGAAGCAGTCACTGCCCACGCGCAAGAAGGGCCAGGCCAGGCCAGGCCATGGGACGTCGGCTGGCAGCGAGTGCTCTAGCACTGCGCTGGTGGTGGTTGATGAAAGTACTGTGAAAGCACAGGGAGAGCGCTGGGTGCTTTGTGCATGCTCCCACTGCAGCAATGCCTTGTCTCCTGGCTGGCCTTCCCAATGCTGTACTGTGTCCCTGTCCCTATAGCTCTGGCAGACATCACGGTCAGTCCTGCCAGACTGTCCCAGGACTGTGGGAGAATACAGAGAATCCAGAGATATCTGAGCATCCAGAGATGATGATAGGAAGGGTAGAGAGCCATATGGTGGGAGAGACAGTCACCAGTGCTGAGATCAATTAGGATTCCAGCTCCTTCAGGGCTGTTTTAGTATCCCAGCTGGCTTTCCTTTTCCTCTCCCAGGGCCAGCCACTGCCTCTCTGGGATCAGCCACGCAGGATCATTAACCTTCTCTCTGCTGCTTTTACACTCTGTGGTGGTGCTGTTTTGGTAACAAATACTGTACTTTATATCGGAGCCTGGACTTTGGTGATTGCAAATACACAGGGTAAATAACTGATGGCTCAAGTCCAGTGCTTCATTTCATTTTTTTTCATTTTCTTTGTTAACTGTGTTTATTTGTCAATTTTATTGACAGAGGCCCTTGTTGTCTGATGTGGAGGAAATAAGATATATTAAATAATCAAGTAGTTCATTTTCTGTATGACCTCTTGATCACAGTCTTGAATGAGAGCTCCTGGAGTCCTGTGTGCATACATGTTCCCATGCCAGACTCTTGTGCCAAGAGAGCATCTGCCCCTGCGAAATGTAATAATTATACCTCTTTACAGCTTGGATCCACTTTCCTGGACCAGTCTTAACTGACAGACTGGGGATGGGGGACAGAGGGAGAAAAGGAAATTGGGCCACTTGACTTCAGGTGAAGAAAAATTTATGGCAGAACCGACTTGTAACGTGGAGCTTTTTGTGCCCAGCAGGCCATCAGCTGCATGGTGCTGTGGAGCTGTGCTTGGCATGTGTAGCAGCTGAGCTGTTTTTTTTCTCAGATGAGCTAAAGGTAAACAATATGTGCTCAATTATGAAGAAAGGAATTGTGTATGAAAAGTGAAAACTCCTTATTACATCTGACAAATCAGGCTGTGATAGAAATGAAGATTTCTGTCAGCTGCTCCTTTGGTCTTTTTAGAGTTTGTAACTAGGCTTTGTCAAGCCTAGTTATTAAAGCATATTTTGACTATATATTACTGGACTGAAGACATTTAAAACAACATCAAAATACTCAGTGGTTTTATGTGGTCCATCATAGGGCATGGAAGATGCATCATGTATGTTGACATGAAGCATCTTTATGTGTCTGTAGCTGTTATGAAAGGCCAAGGCACGGTGTTTTTCCACTGAAGACAGTTTTGTCAGATACTGACATCAGTGTTGGCAAGTCTCTGGGGCAAAATAAGGAGCTCTTCAGAGCATCTTGGCTTTTCCTAAAGGTTTGAATGTTTGCAAGCTCAGAAGTGCTGAAGCCACAAGTATTTGGTGTTGTGTTGGGTGGTAGTGGATTGCCCACAGGAGAAAAATCTAATGGAAAGTGCCAGTTTCAACAGAGGATGGAAAGAATATAGATAATTTTTAACATGCACAGAGCATCCACAGGGAATTGGATCTTCCAGAAATCTCTTGGAAAAATGAGATGTACAAACCAAGAACTGCAAGAACCATAAGGAAATATATTTCTTCCCTTGGAAGAAGATACAATTGAGATACTTATGTTCCTTGAGGTTAACACAGTGGCACTGATAAGCTTTTCCATTCCATTCCTTCTTTTTTCTTTTTTTTTTAACTTTGTGAATTCCTTAGTATATTGTCTAAGCATCTTATAAGTATTCATAAATGTGTCCTCAGAGGAAAATGACTGTATATAACGATGATGCAATGTGTTGTGCAAGGAAGCAACTTTCCAAATGCTGCTACACAGTTATACCATGGCACACTGGGGACAGCAAGACTGTTAAGTCTATTTTGGTAAGTGAGCCAGCACTAGCTGCTTTGCCTTGGCCACAGCCAGAGTAATTCACCACGTTTCTTCATCTAATAACTTCATTTAAGGAATTACTTTTTAACACCAGACCTGGGCAGCCCATGTGGGGGTTGGTAGCTGTCAGGGCACAGTTGGCAGCAGGGGAAGAAGCAGCCTCTGCTGCTTCTTTGAGCATTGCCCAGTGTGCTGCAGTATCTGCCTCTTGATGCAGCCCTTCTGTGCTGGGCCTCAGGTTTGGGGTTCAAATCTGAGGCGTTCCTCTCTGCATATTCCAAACAACCCTGATCTTCTCTGGGGCACAAATGTTGCAGCAGTGGCAGCATCTCTCCTGCAGCCAGGCATTCAGAGCAGCGTTTGGGCATTGACAGAGTGCGTGAACAGGAGGCTAATTCTCTTTTCCTCAGGGTTTAAGGGCTTTGTGCAGATCTCCTTGAAGTCTGTGAAGGAATTCTATTGCTGCAGTGGGCTTTGAATCTGGCCCCAGATGCACAATTAACTTGCAGCATGTGTTAATCTTTTGCTATCTTGCTTGCAAATATGAAGTGGTACTGAGCAAACCTTTGGAGGATACACTGAGTACTTGTGAACATGCAAAGCTGCACATTGATCTCGATCTTTTCAAAGGAGTATGACTGTGGATGTATGTCAGACTACCCCACAGTATGTTGCAGCTACATACTCTTTGGTCTTCTTTGGTCTTTTATGTGCTTTTTGTACATGTTCAGTTGGCATTACAAGCTCTGAGGTTTTCTCTTATGTTACTGTACAGTACTTCAGGGAACTCATCTCTCATCACTAATAAAATAAAACAAAACAAAACTCTGGTAGGTCTTGCCTTGCTAACTGCTCTAGCTGGTGTGGTTCCCACTGCGTCAAAAATTATAAAGCCATACAAGATTTAAAATATTCCCAGCACAAAGCAACAATATTTATAGACAAAGAATAAGACTTCTTATTTTGAAAATGCTATGGAACTGCTTTTTTGGCAGGAGTGTTTAAGCCACATGGACTTGCAGTACTGTTTTGTAAGCTTATTCCTTAATTATGACTTAATTTAGGTCTCTGAGCTTAAGAACACCCATGAAACTAGCAGCAAAACATTTTTTTTTGTGGAAAATTTTGTTTGCATGGAATACAAAATTTGTATTCCTTGTGGATTTTTGGTGTTTTCAAACTTGTATTTATTTCTTTTAATCTTTTTAAAGCATGTAAAAAAATAAAATACTGATGCTGTGTACTTAACACAATGTTTTGAAGAAATTAGCTTGGAAAGGGCGTGTGATTACTTATTCTCCAATCACCTTAAGTAAAATGCACATGAGATTATAAGGAGTCATGAAATGCACCATATTCTATCTCAAACACTAACTGCTGCAAGAGATAATTTAGAAATAATTTTGCTTTCATGTATTTGTTCATAAATGCAGCATTCTAACAATAGCAATAAAGAGAATAATCTGTGTAATTGTATTTTTATAGTATTACTCTATCTTTTTCTGCAGGAAATCTCTTTTCCCAGTTTAAGTAGCCTTCCATTCAGCTGTAAGTGGAATAATGCTTCTTTAGCAGCTGAAGAGAATTAAGGGAATTTTTTTTCTACAGACTTAATACAGCATTTTGAAAGGAACTACTCAGTGACTTTGACTTTTAGTGAACAAAACAGGGTGAGGGCATGAAAAACACTGCTTTTTTTTTTTTTTTTTTAGATAAAAGGAGAAGTACTCAAAATAGCTGTGCAGAAAGGCAAGAAGATGTGATTAAGCTAGATGTACTGCTAGATTATTATTATTCTTAACAACTTACTTTCTTAAATCAGTGTAGGCAGTGTCTCAGCCCTGTAGCTCAGCCCTTTTCAGAGACAGAGTATTGAACAGCCATTCCTAGCTTAATACTCAAGTAGAAATAGTGGAAGCAGTAGAGAAAACAAACATTTGAATAGTTTTAATTAAGTCTTCTGCTGTGACCATGCTCTTTTGACCTCTACTATTAGTGTCTGAAACATGATATGAATAAATAATCTGAATATAGCATAAAATAAAAAAAGTGGTGGTTAGCATCCCAGCTACCTGAGGCCAGCTCCTGCTAATATGAGCTTAAGGGCATGGGCTTTCAACCTGGGCTTTTTTTTTTTTTTTTTTTTTTTACAGGTGACCTGAACAGAGTGCAATCCCTTGAAGCTTGGAGACTGAACATTTTTAATGTTGGAATTTGAATGGTGAAATCATTTGAAGAAACAAATGCCTGGCAACCAGTTTGAAGTTTTATAATGAAGTGATGGGGTTAAAGGGAAGATTGGGAAATGAGTTGCTTTTATTTTCCAGGCAAAAGAATGTTCCCTGGGGTAGTAGGAAGCAACACTGGAATCTAGTGTCTGTGTTTCACCTATCTTTGCTCTTCTCTGCAGGTTACATATTTGGGTAAAGTTTCCACAACAGGGATGCAATTTTTGTCAGGCTGCACAGAGAAACCAGTCATTGAATTATGGAAGAAGCACACGCTTGCCAGGGAGGATATTTACCCAGCTAATGCTCTTCTGGAAATTCGCCCTTTTCAAGTCTGGCTGCATCATCTAGACCTCAAAGGCGAGGCAACAGTCCACATGGATACCTTTCAGGTAGCACGTATCGCCTACTGCACTGCTGACCACAACATCAGCCCAAACATCTTTGCTTGGGTCTATAGGGAGATCAACGATGACTTGTCCTACCAGATGGACTGCCATGCTGTAGAGTGCGAGAGCAAGCTGGAGGCCAAGAAGTTGGCTCACGCCATGATGGAGGCCTTTAAGAAGACTTTTCACAGCATGAAAAGTGATGGCCGGATCCACAGGAATAGTTCATCAGAGGAAGTGTCTCATGGATTTGAATCTGATGATGGCTGACTGAACTCATTCATGATTCAGCAAAGGCAGAAATGGCCTAGGGAATCAGAGCTGATAGATGAATAAGCAACAGTTGAAATTGGGGAACAGAAAAGACTGCCAAACCCTTGGCTGACTAGCTTTTTAAAATCAAGAGAGTAATTTGGTACCTAAAGATATGCATCATTAATTACATTACATTGAAACCTGCTGCTGTTGTAAACACAAGAAAAAAGCTTCCCCCTCTTTTGCCCCAGATGTCTGGCACCCACTCATTACTGCCCCTTTCTCATCTCTGTAGTTCAGGTGCATACTGCAAAGTAAACATTCCTGTTTATCTTATAAGACTGGACAGGCAATATTATTAGTTGCTCCTCTGGTGTTCCTACCTGGGGGGTGATGATGATGATGCAGAAGACTAAGTAGGCCTGGAAAACCCTAATGGCTCCCAAAAAAATCTCTCTCTCTGATGCATCACAAAAATCATTTGATCATACATAGGCTAAGACAGCCATACATAGCCTCTTACACTAGTGGCCTGGCATTCTGCAGTTAATTCACATTTCATGGATTAAAGAATGAAAAATGATGCTTGTATGTACACATTATATCATATGCTATCCTTTATTTTATTCATTGTACCTGTTTTCTTAATATACCTGCTGCCACCTCTTTCACTCAGCACCAGTAGTTGCAGTTGCAGACTGAAGGATACCAAAAAGGGTGGGCCAAACTCCCATGGCGGCTTGAAGGACAGCAAGCCAGCACCCTTATCTGGGTATTTTCAAGACCTTATTTGCTCCCCAAGTGAGTGGCCCACTGGTAAAGAGTTGAGGGACTCTTAAGTTTGTTGTCAGTGTTTGAACTGTGACTTCTCATCAACCTCAGGTCTGAAGATGGCAGCCTCAACTCTGTGTTCTCTTGGCCCTGGTTGGATGGAGCTGGTGCTGCCTAGTCAGGAAGCCAGGGCTGTATTACCATAAAGATCAAAAGGAACAGTCCAGTAGAAGCCAGATTTGAATATCTGTTCTGGTTGAGAAGCTCATTTTAAGATTCTTGTACCTTTCCTTGTTCACAGATATAAAGAGTCATGCCTTTCTTAAACGCAGATGTTTAATAAAACTCCGATAAAAGGAAAAACTTGTTTCACTTAATATTTTTTAAGGCCAAGAGCAGATCAATACTTTGAAAGTAACGCTGCTCCTTTATACAATGCCATTTGTAATTTTGGTACTGTTAGGGGCACTGGGGCACCTTACAGAAGCCTTAAAAGAAAGCTAATTGAAGCAGATAGCTCACTGCCTATGTTTTGTGGGTTTATATGTTTGTATGTGAGTGTGTATGTGCAAATCCAGTGTTAAAGCATGTAGATTGAGCATAGACATATACTGAGGAGGGCCCAGACCCCTTGAAATTATGCTTATTGCTTTACAATGTATGTAAACTATTCTGCAGCATAAATGCATTCATACTTTAATAAAAAAAAGTTTGAGTTAAGACATGGGAATTTTAAGCTGTCTTTCCAAAGCAAGTGACACGGTTTTGTTTCATCCATATGGGTTTTCTGTTCAGTTGCTCACTGGGAGTGAAAATGTCAATTTATTTCCATTTAACATTACAAGTCTTCATGAGTATTATCCTCAATATTTTTTTTTTTTTTCTTTTAAATGCTTCATTTAAGTTACTGATGAATTTACTCTCTTTAAAAAAAAAAAAAGCAACAAACTACACTATATAGACAGGATTTATAATTTTGGCTTTGCAGGAGCCTTCAGAGATATCCCCCCCATCAAACTATCAGGCCAGTTTAAATGAATTCTGCTTACAGAAACTGCAGAATAGCTAATGGCTCAGGTGTGTGTAATGCTGTAATTCTATAACGTGATGAAAAGTATAGCAGTAATAGCAGGGTGGCACAATCCCAGGCTGCAGCAATTAAGAACAAGCCCAAATGCAGCAGCTGTGAACAAAGAAACAAAGAAAGAAAAACTGCTTACCTTTAGAAGGCCTCCAGTAGACAGTGATCTCCAGAGAGATCCTCTTGCCTCCACTGCCAACCCTTAAATGAGGTCTGGGAAGGGGTGCATCCTGGCTCCTCCCCTTCCAATCACTCTGGTACATTGCATGCACCTGAGCTCCCCTTGGTTGGCCCTGCCTGCCCACCAGGTGCTCAATCACTGCTTCAGGCCATGACTTAACATTTCTCCTGCAGTGTGGCATCAGACTGTGGGTTGGGAAACAAAACACCAGGCCAGAGGATTCTGGGGCTGTTTGTTTCTGTATTTTTGGATGATCCTCTGTTTCCAGATATGGCTTTAACATTTATTTATTTATTTTTTTTCTACAGTGCTCATTTGGAAGCTGAGGGCTGTGTATAGGCTGTATGTTGCTCAAAATAAAATCTGAGGCCTGTCACACATGTATCTGTTTTTACCAAAGACAAAATGAGGCAAGCCTTACTTCAACTTTTAACAAATTATTTTCTCTTGCACAGAGATGTTGCCATGTTTTTGCATCTTTATTTGTTTGACTGTTTTGCCACCAAACATGCTCCAAATCAGCGTGAGAATTCTGGTTCTATCATCTCAATCTGGTGAGGGCCCTACAGTGCTGCACATGGCCCATGGCACAGTGGCTGCCGCACGTACGGCCCCCAGCGGCCTCGTGCTGCCAGGAGAAGCTTGGGGAGTTGTCACAGAGGCAGCTCCTGCAGTACCCAGCACTGTGGTGTCTGTGGTATTCCTCAGCATTCAGAGACTGAGGGTTGCGGGGCAATTTTGAATGATAAAAATGAAGTACAAAGCAGAAAATTCTAGTCCTCGTGATCAGAAAATCAGACCGTTTGAAAAACGAACCAGATATTTTCTAAGGCTACAAGCATGCAGGAGGATGTGAGGGAACGTGAGCTCCAGTTCATCTTTTAGAAAATATGAGATTTGAAAAATAATCAGTTTCATGAGTTTGGATCCTTAGATTACTTTGAATTCTGGCCAAATCCCTCCACATTATCAACACCAAATGTGTGATGCCATTTGCATGAAGGAGAAAAGCTTTGACTCCGCAATATCCAGAATATGAGTTATGGCTGAATATCAGTTGCCAGTAGATACGGAATGAAACAATACGTTAAACTTTTCCCTCAATTAATCTGCTGGAAAAGGAAAATCATAACATTTCCATCAGAAGTCCCTTCCAATTGGCTAAAGACTTTTCTTTTCCACTACAAAGAGCTCAGTTTTGGATCTCACCATATCCCTTTGTGGGCTGACAAGTTCCTTCAGCGTCAGCCAGGACAACTCAGAAAGGCTTTCTTTCCTTTTTCTGTTTGTAGGGGCCATAGGGAAGAGTTAAATACCTAAGTAAGTGTGCTGTTAGAAATGGGAGAAGACGAGTGGAGAGCCTTTAGGTCATTAGATCTCAGCATCAGTACACAGCATCATTAGGTTCTCTGTGTACACTTATATGTATATACACGTGTATGTATGCATACACATCTTTAAATTTGATGCTTGCTAATAAATTTTTCATGCATTGTGGGTACACGTAATCAGAGGTATATTTGTGAAGGCACATCTCCATGACAGTGGTCAGATAAATGGCTGACTTCTTAAAAAGTTCTTTTTTTATTTTTTATTTCTTTAGTGGGAAGCAAGTTACTTCTATCTACATATAGCATTTGATATCCTGTATTTATTATTTACCATTTACCACCAGAGCTGGCCCATTCCATGCCCAATTAGCTGCTGTAAGAATGATGTATGATTGGGCTCATTTTTCCCCACGGCAGTGGAGCTCTGAATCAAGATCTCTTAAATTATTAATTTGTGTGTAATTGGGAAGTGATAGTTTAAATGTACGGTTGTTATCCTGTTGTCTAGTGTTAAGTCTGCTAAGAGTTTATAGAGAATGCATCATGTGTAGAAAATAGGGACATTCATTATAACTTTTTTCTTACGTGATTTTAAAAGATACAGGGTGTTTTTCAAAGGTTCTTCTTTTGTGAAGGTCAATCAGAGACTTTACTTCCTTTTGTGTACAATTTATGGTGACTGGCTGCACCAGGAGTGTGTAAATGGGCTTTTTATCTCCACAGCACCATCTTCCTGCACGCTGCCCTGGTGTCAGGCTGGGGGCAGATACATTGCTATAATGAAAATGTGTGTATGCCTGGAGAGATGCTATTCTATCTTGGGCAGTGTGCTTTCTGAAAAGAGTTTTACAATATGTTGGCAGGACAGCCCCAGTGCATGTGCTGCCAGCGGGATCAGAGCTGCGAGAGCTGCATGGTGTGGCAGCTGCTCTTGGGCAGGACAGATACAAACCTGGTTTACCCTGCTGGAAGAGGAGCATCAGATTGCATTTCAGCAAGAGAAGTGGACTGTAGCAAGCTCTTTTCAGAAGAACTGAGTTGAGGAAGTAGATTTGTAATGTACACCTGAGGCAGCATTAAAAATACTTGGAGTAACAATCTCTACCTCCCAAGCACATCCTGGAAGTATGTTGGAAGATAATCCTAATGCTGTTCGAATGACCTAAGGCGATGGAGCTTGAGCATGAGCCTTGCATCTTGTAGCAGCAGGTCATGTAGGCAGAGATGTGATTTCCAATTACTGCTAGGCAGGAGGGGAGCATCTGAGAGTGCTTGTTTCGTTTTGGAGTGTCTCCGGTGGAAGGCGTATGTGAAAAGGCTTTTAATGTTTCCTCATCAGGAGGAAACTGCTCATGTATTAACACAGAGACTGGGTGCTTCCATGGGCAAGGTGAGAAGACCTAATGAAAAGGCCACAAAAGCATCCCAGCAACCATGGCAAAAAAGTGTTTTTTATTACTTGCATATTGTGGTACAAACCTGACCATGCCTTCAGAAGGGAGAATATTACTATGCTGAGTTTGGTGCCTCTTTTCTTTCCCAGCTTTCACCATCAGAAGAGTGGAAAGATGTTACCAGATAAGTTGTCTGTTGTGCTTTGATTTGCGTTCTGCATTACATTCTCTGTTATTTTCCTGTAAATTGTATTGCTGTCAGAAAGAGAGGAAACATTATAATCCTATGAATAATGCATAATGTGGATGGTTTTTTTTCCTTTTTCGTGAGCAGCATAGATTTTCTGGGAACAATGGACAGGAGAGGTTTGCTGGCGTTGCCCTACAGATTTCATTCTGGGAAAGAAGTAATGTTTGAAGGTTGGTATCAGTCATGTGCATGTGGAAAAAGTAAGTTATCGCTATCTATCTCCAATTAGTTACCTCTTGTCTAGAGAGAGTGGAAAGAGTTTCAGACATAATTTCTGTGGATATTATTAATGAAGGTTTTCTTGCACAGTTGGGTTAGATTCTTGTGGCCTTGCTCCTGAATGTTTGGTGCCATGCCACTGCTGCCTGGCTCCTCTTTAATGGATCCCAGACCAGGCAGTTTCAAGTAACAGCAGATATTCCAAATCCTGGGAGAATAATGAAATATGTAGAGGAATGTCAAAGGAGATTCCTATAAAGGAAAAATAAGGTTAAATGATGACATAGTTGCCACTGGGTATTTTCCTAGCCATAAAAGATTTCGGGCTTATCCAAATGCAGAAACAGGTGAAAAAGGAATTGTGCTACACCACGAAGGTGCTCTGGGCTGAAACACAGTGCTTCACGCTCACCTAAGAAGTTTGTTCCTGATATTCTATGGTGGTTTCTCCAGGTGATTTCTTTGTGTTTGTTCTTGTCAGCTCTTCTCAAACAATTAAAAGGCACTTGTGTCTCCCTTTCCTATTTCTAATCACCGTTTCTATTCAGCATTGAAGGGAGAAGTGCCATGAGGAGCTGGAGCCAGACATACCATGCCAAGAGCTGCAAGGTCTCTGCTTTACTGCCATGGCCCTCCTGCTTTGCCCATCCTCTGCATCCTTAGGAGGTCACCATCACCTCCAATAAGCTCTGTTCTGCTTTCTAGGTGCTTTTCTTTTGTAGATCCTGTGCCCCAATGACATTTGTGACCTGCCAGAAAAATATATCTATTTCCCCAAGTGTTGTGGAATTGTTTATATGATAAAGTGTTGGTCTGTGTGGAGCTGAAAGGAAAATGCCAGAGTGACCTTCCTACTGTTGGCAGGAGGATGACCAGCAGCAAGTTCCTGGCAGTCACTAATTGACTCATTAGAGGTCTCTGTGGGTGTGCTCACAGGAGAGTAAGCACGTCTGTACTGCCTCCACTGATGAGAAGCATGGATGTCAGGATGGCAGTGTGGACAGGACTGGGGTCCCAGCTGGTGTGGGACAGCCCAGGCATCACTGGCTGTGGGGTGCTTCCACAGCTCAGACAGGCTGTAGGTCTGTGAGAGCTGGGGAAAACATGCCAGGTCAGGACATTCCTGCAGTGACCCTGCAGGAATCAAAGTGCTTCATCAGCCAGCAGGACAAGGTGATGCTAAGTTGTGCTGAGCTGCCTTAGGCCAGCCCACTCCAGTGCAGCAGGTTGCCACGTTCCCTGTGCCTTGCTTACAGAAATCTTAA